ATGGGGAAAGAGGTCTGAATTTGAAGGTGGAAGAGACACGATTAATTGTCGGTAAGTGTTTTATATGTTTCCATTTTTGTTTTTTTTGAAGTGAAATGGTTTCAGCTGAGGCCCTGGCATTCATAATGTTACATCACTAAATGGAAAATAATTAAGTGAAGAAGTTTAAACCCTCCTGGATTTCCTAAGAAACGGACAGAATGCCAAATTTGTGAATTATCACTAGCTCAATTATTTGCAGAAAGAAACTGCTAGTTCACTTCTGACTCTCAAAAGTCACTCAACGAAATTTGCTGTGGCAGTATTTTCTTTCCATGATCACATTGCAAAAAAAAAAGCCCTTTTTTAAACTGGCAGTAATCCCAATGTAATGAAATCAAAATAAGTAATGGTAGAATAAAAGCAAAGTACTGTGGGTGCTGAAGATCTGAGCTGGAGAAACTTAGCAGGTCTGACAGCAACTGTGGAGAGAGAAACAGTAATGTTTCAAGCCCGATATGACTCAACCCATTCCCAAATAAGTCATTTTGGACTTGAAATGTTAGTTTTGTTTCTCTCTCCACAGATGCTGTTAGACTAGCTGAGTTATCCAGTGCTTTTCTGTTTTATTTTCAGTGATGCTTGAAACACTCAGCAATTCAGACAATCTTTGTTATAAGTTGGAAAAAACTTCCTGTTTCAGGCTGATGATGTTTTGGCAAACTTCAAAGGAAAAGTCATCAACCTAAAACATTTAACATTATCCCTTCACAGATGCTGCCAGATCTGATGAATATTTCTAGCATATGCAGTATTTTGCTTTAGCCATGATTTATTGAAATTGACGTTTGAGATATTTAGCTTCTGTTCAGACTTGATTAATTATTCTTTCTCATTTCCCTTTGTCTTGATGTTCATTCATATGATTTTTTTTCAGATAAGTTTGGATAAATGGTGTATGTTTATGTCAACATGTTTGCATATCTATTTTTTCATAGATTTATTTTCAGTGTATGGTGTCATATTCCTAAAGTCGCCCGGACAGTGAATCCAGCATTCAGGCTAATGTTCTGGGTGCATGGGTTCAAATATAACCTTGGTTGGTGGAATCTAAATTCAATTGATAATCTGGAATCTGTGCTTTGCTTAGACTGGTGTCTGTGAGCCGTCAGACCTACAGCAATGTCGTTGATTATTCGTTGTCCTCTGAAATGTCCTAGCAAGCAATTTAGTTAAAGCAGAATTAAGAATGGGCAACAAATGTTGGCCTTGCCAGTTATGCTCATATCCTATGAAAGAATAACTAAACCACTGTTATTTAAATAGTTAAGAGAAAAAAAGTGTATAATTCTTTGTAGTCCAAAATAACTTTACCTGATGTGAATATTTTCCTGCCCAGTAAACTAGTGTTTTCCTGTACATTGCACAAATTGGCTGTCCTAAATGCTTTATTTTAAAGATCTGTTTTGTGTAGACCATGCTTTTTAAAAAAAAATCAAATGGTTTCAATGGAAGCTAGTTATGCCACCATTATCAAATTGGTTTCTGAAATATCCCAGTCTGTTGACAATCCAGACTATAATCAACAAGCCAAAATGTTTAAAGTTGAAATGGTTAAGGGTCCTGCTGAAGATTTAGTTTGTGACTTCTTTTTTGACCAAAGACAATTTATTGGCTGCTTGGAAATTCTTTCTGATCTCTACTTATGTTTGTGGGTTGAGCTTATTGGGTCGATTGACAAACAGCATTTCTTTATAAAAGCTGTTCAGGGTATCTGTGCTCTTTTTCATAAAGGAAAAAATATTTTGGGCACTAAATGTTTGTGTTTTTTTTTTTGAAATTGTAGAACAGTCCCTATAGCAGAAAGATTCTTCACTAGTTCGACATCACTGACATTGAAGCATGCTGCTTGGTACCCTAGCGAAACTGAGGAACCACATGTTGTCATGTTGACCTCTGATAATTCTATAAGGTAATGTAATACACTGCTTGATCTAAAAGTTGCATTGCTTCATAATGGTGTTCCGTAACTTGACTATTCTGCATTAAGTCACTAAGCCAGCGCTTCAAATTCATGACACCTAACTGATGTAAAACATTTAAAACTAAAGAAAGATGTTCATTCGACTTTTTGGGAATGAAATGTTTGTCAGCTGTATACTTCTTTCCCCTTCCTCACAGCTGGTCCAAAATTTCATGTGGGCATTTTACATGTCTTGGGAAGATTGATTCAGGTGAACATCTGCGGACATAAGAGTCCTGTGTGTCTGTTAATTTGCCAGTACCATGGGCCCACAATTTTAAAACTGATTTTTCGCTATTATTGCACAGTGTGATCTTGTAAACTTGGGACAGCATGGCAGGTAGGTTTACTCTGGCTTTAATAGGATTATTTAAAGTTAATGTGGTCTCTCACATTGTTTTGTTGCATGCCCATTAGTGAGGATCAAAGTAGGTGAATATTTGTTCTCTTCCCATAACTATTCAATTATGTCATCATAGGTTCTATGATTTAAAGCAGCCACAGACTCCAGTAAAGACATTCAGCCTTACTCAGTGTGAAGAGGAAAATATTCTACCAGCATCACGGTAAAAATGTTTATCATTTTGCTTGTTCTGTGACATGATTTGTACTCTTATTTTTTCTTAAATATAAGAATTGTAAAATGAGCATTAATATTATTTAACCAACTTGTGTTTTCCATCTGCTGACCTTTCCTGCTAAGACCCAAATGACTAAATTATCATAGTTTACTTTTTCCTTGTTACTGTGTTTTTGAGCATTATCTCTTAATTGTCTGCTGAAAGTACAAACTTGTCTGTTGTATATGAAAGAACCTGTATTTGTATAACTCCTTTCTTGTCCTCAGCAATCCAAAGCACTCAGTGGCAAGTACTGTTAGCATTGCTGCTGTATTTGCCTCCATTATATGTGCAGCATGTTCTGTCAAACGTTTGCAAATTATTCCTGCTGCTTTGCTGCCTGACTCGCTGTGTTCCTCCAGCTCCATACTATTGATTCGTTTATTTGTATTAATTGAGAATAAGATGTTGTTCTGATCATACCATCGATGGTGTATTACATATTCTGAGAACTACATTATAGAAAAGATATTTGAAACACAGAAAGCATCAGCAAAGCCAATGAACACTTGGGAAAAACTCAACAGTTTGAATAATAAATCCTTTCTGTTCACTCACATAGACATGCAGGACTTGCCACCTTCTATGAAAGACAGCACCTGTAACAATATAGCAATCTTTATTGCTGCACTGAACAGTTAATTCTGATGAAAGGTCGTTCATCCAAATTGTAAACTGTTTCTTCCTCTGCATATATTGGCAACAATAGTGTTGTCATAAAGCCCATCTGAGCTGAAATACTTTATAAATTTATCAATTGCAGAAAACTTCATTAATTTTTGTTCACCAGAGGCTCATAACAAAAAAAGAAATCTTAAATTACTTCTCACTCCAGGGGAAGCAAACTTTCATTTGTTATCTCTCCGGGCCTTCCATCCGTAACCTCTTGGGTTCGCCTTTACACTTTTTTTTCCAGGGAAGTTATTTACTCTTTCTTCCTGACTATATCTGTCTTTCATTGGCTTTGCTGGTGCTTTCCATGTTTCAAACATCCTTTCTATAATGTAGTTCTCAGAATATACAGTACTCCATTTGTGGTATGATCAAGCCAACATCTTGTATATTTTCAATGACAACTTTATACTTGATGTCTCATATAAGCCCCTTATTCTATTATTTCTCTATTAGAACCTTTTCCACCTGTGCTTACATCTTTAAAGGTCAATGTACCTGGAGGTGTTTGCTTTTCCTTTTGTTTACTAAGGATTTCTGAACATATTCAAACAGAATTTTGATTTTGATTTGATTTATTGTTGTCACATGTACTTAGATACAGTGAAAAGTTTTTTTACGTGCATTACAGGCAGATCATAGCGTACAAAGGTCATGGGGTGATTGAACAAAGCGAGGAATACAAAGTTACGGCTGCAAAGAAGGTGAACGGACTTAGAATTGAGGTTTAAAAGTGCAGAACAATTTTAAGAAATCAGAATGAGATCTGCTGTAGAGAGCTTGCAAAGAGTCACCCAGTGTCAGCATTGTCTTGAAATCAAATATGTGATTGACTATTTTCAAAAGCAGCCATCACATATTTGGATTCAAGATGATGCTGACACAGGGT